TGGAACCAAAGCAAACTCATGACTTTGAAATAGATCTCTTCTGTTCAATAAAATGACCTAAATAACAATATCACCCGAGCACGGAAGTCTGATATGTATCCCAGGTACTTTGGTCTCTAATACCATGTTCTACTGTATCCTCAGAAGGATGGCTGAACCCATTCAGAGTAGGGAAGATACAAAGTGGTCTTAGGACAACCAGCTAATAACAGAAAACAAGAAGTCTTTAAAAACACATGAGATCTTATAAAAAGAACACAAAAAGCAGCTCAAAAGAACAGAAAGACGGCTTTTTTTCTGATAAAAAATTAAAGGACAGGCTAATGCAACTACTGCTACACCCCTAAAGACAACTCTCTGGACATTCACATATATGGTAACATGCTCATTATCTAAAACATTAATGAAGTGTGTCATGGCCTTCCATCTACAGGTCTGAGAGACTCTCCCAGTGCTATAGCCTTGGGCCTTGAAACAATGTAAAGTGAACTTGCAGCATCAGAAGTGAATTTTATCTTTTGAATATACTTGAGATAAAAGGAATCTGCTTTTCTTTTTTAATGTATTTCCCAATACATTTCAACAGTTATTGCTGTTTGCTGCTTTACTACTTCCCTTGCCTTCTGTGGTCTATTAGGACAAAGGTCTTCTAAGGACAAAGATATATGCCAAAAATGCAAATATTGAGCCTTCTTTAAATACCAACCTAGAGAAGCAAGTTAAGAGGTTTTCTTATCCAAGCTTAAAACAATCCTGTATTATTTACTCTACCTTTGCTGACTGATCCAAAGAGATAATCAGGAAAAAACAATTTATCCATGAGATACAAAAAGGAGCCTAAAAGCTAATATTTCACATTCTTGTGTTTGTAGCTTTGGGCTCACCAATATTTGGTGACTTAAAATTATAAAAGGCAAATTACATAATTTAATAGTATTTAAATATATAACTATTATGTAAATGACACTTTAGAAGTTATAATTTTTTAAAGCAATAAGAATTCTCATTAAGAAGTTATATACTGCAAATATATTAAAGAGGTATGATTTTTAAATTTGGAAAATATTTAAAATTAAACTATGGAAAAATCAGATATAAGAAAATTGAATGTATATAAATTTAAGTATATAGTAAAAAGGTGTTTATCCAGCACTATCAGGATGTGTGTGCATGTACGGGAATGCAGACTGCTGTACATCCAAGCCTTATTCATGTCAAACTGAACTTAGGTTAAACAAGTACTAGCTAAACTTGAGTTGGGCATATTAGAAAGGTATGGACAGTTAAAAGAAGTACTGAGGTTTTTAATAAATGTAATTACTTAATACAATACCCACGATGTCTGTATAAGATGACCTCAAAATTGTCTTAGTATTCTAGAAAAAAAAGTCAAAGCTGCACTTTTCATTATAAAAACCTATGTGCCTGCAGAAGAATGAAACTGGACCATTTCCTTACACCACACACAAAAATAGACTCAAAATGGTTGAAAGACCTAAATGTGAGACAGAAGTCCATCAAAATCCTAAAGGAGAACACAGGCAGCAACCTCTTCAACCTCAGCTGCAGCAACTTCTTCCTAGAAACATCACCAAAGGCAAGAGAAGCAAGGGCAAAAATGAACTACTGGGACTTCATCAAGATAAAAAGCTTTTGCACAGCAAAACAAACAGTCAACAAAACCAAAAGACAACTGACAGAATGGGAGAAGATATTTGCAAATGACCTATCAGATAAAGGGCTAGTATCCAAAATCTAAAGAACTCATCAAACTCAACACCCAAAGAACAAATGATCCAATCAAGAAATGGGCAGAAGACATGAACATTTTTCCAAAGAGGACATCCAAATGGCCAACAGACACATGAAAAAGTGCTCAACATCGCTCGGCATCAGGGAAATCCAAATCAAAACCTCAATGAGATACCACCTCACACCAGTCAGAATGGCTAAAATTAACAAGTCAGGAAACAACAGTTTCATGTAGGCGGGGATGTGGAGAAAGGGGAACCCTCCTACACTGTTGGTGGGAATGCAAGCTGGTGCAGCCACTCTGGAAAACAGTATGGAGGTTCCTCAAAAAGTTGAAAATAGAGCTACCATACGATCCAGCAATTGCACTACTGGGTATTTACCCCAAAGATACAAATGTAGGGATTCGAAGGGGTACGTGCACCCTGATGTTTATAGCAGCAATGTCCACAATAGCCAAGATGTGGAAAGAGTCAAGATGTCCATCGACAGATGAATGGATAAAGAAGATGTGGTGTGTATATATATATATATATATATATATATATATATATATATATATATATACAATGAAATATTACGCAGCCATCAAAAGGAATGAGATCTTGCCATTTTCAACGACGTGGATGGAACTGGAGGGTGTTATGCTGAGAGAAATAAGTCAGTCAGAGAAAGACATGTATCATATGACCTCACTGATATGAGGAATTCTTAATCTCAGGAAACACTGAGGGTTGCTGGAGTGGTGGGGGGTGGGAGGGATGGGGCGGCTGGGTGATAGACACTGGGGAGGGTATGTGCTATGGTGAGTGCTGTGAATTGTGCAAGACTGTTGAATCACAGATCTGTACCTCTGAAACAAATAATATAATATATGTTAAAAAAAAAAAAAAGGAGAAGAAGATAGCAGCAGGGGAAGAATGAAGGGGGGAAATCAGAGGGGAAGACGAACCATGAGAGACGACGGACTCTGAAAAACAAACTGAGGGTTCTAGAGGGGAAGGGGGTGGGAGGATGGGTTAGCCTGGTGATGGGTATTAAAGAGGGCACGTTCTGCATGGAGCACTGGGCGTTATACACAAACAATGAATCATGGAACACTACATTTAAAACTAATGATGTAATGTATGGTGATTAACATAACAATAAAAATTTTAAAAAATCTATGTGCCTTTTCTTTGGCATGACAATATTTTTTATATGATTCTCTTACCAACAAATGTTGGAATAGTGGCCTTGTAAAATAAAGAATACAAATCTGATTTAAATCAAACACAAGGATAAGCCTGGTTTCTTTTGGTGTACTTATTCCAAAAAATACATAAACAAAATTAAAATTACTTAGAGAAAAAGAGTAAGAGAGAGAAAGTAGCCATGTTAATATTGCCCTACATATCCCTTAACCCCCTTCTGTAGAAAAGTAAATTACATTTTCAAGGTATCTTCTATGATCTATATATATTTTCCTTATGTCTTGTGTCATCTATACATTCAACACAAAATGGCTCTTTTTCCTGAAAAGTATCTTCATTTCCTACAAGCCTTAAGAAAACTTAGGGAAGAGGCCACAAAGAAAAAGAATAGGCCACAAAATGATGCAGTCAGGCAGGAGCTTACACTGAGTTAAGTAAGGATCTAGCAATCTCAGAGTGTACTTTATGACTGTATTAATGTCAACTTTAACTAAAGTCTCCATACATGTCAGTTGTGACTTACTGATCTAAAGCTACCAAAATGCAGTAACTGATGTTAGAAATAATGACCATCAGACATCAAGAAAAGATATCATCTTCAAGGTGTCTGTTTCTTTATGGCAAAGAAGAAACATTTTACAAAGAGCTCTGTTTAAAACAGCTAACAATCATAAGTGCTAGTATTTAAAGCGCTAACTGGTGATCTAGGACACTTTATCCAGAATTTTTCTCACTACCAGTCATGATTTAGGTTGTGTTGTATTTTCATTTTTTAAATCTAATTTTTAACTAAGACCTTTTGACAATTCTGAAATATAGCTCTTCATAACTGGCATGCTCCTTGGTACGTTTTTCACACCTGCCTGTTAAACTTTATTTGGTTAAACCAACCCCAACATTACTAAATGTTACAATGAACTAGTTGGACTAGATGGACAAGCCTCACAGTCTTTTTTTTTTTTCTGTTTTTTTTTTTTATATATATATTTATTTATTCATGAGAGACAGAGAGAGAGAGAGAGGCAGAGGGAGAAGCAGGCTCCCAAGGAGCAGGGAGCCCGATGTGGGGCTCGATCCCAGGACGCTGGGATCATGACCTGAGCCGAAGGCAGACGCATAACCGACTGAGCCACCCAGGCGCCCAAGCCTCACAGTCTTATGTGGAATATCAGATATCAGACACTCCACTTAAATACCTCAACGTCTCCACATGATAATATAGTAGTCTTGGCAGGTGTGATTTTCAGCTATTGGGGAGGGACAGGAACAAGTCGTTAAGTTTCAATTCTGCTTAAATACGGTTGTGAATCCTGCGCACCGGGATGCACTGTGGGAGTGCATAGGGGGTCAGTAAGTGGCCTAGACAGGCACCACAATCCGCTTGCTCTCCATGTTTCACCATGGGGGTCCAACTTTTTCTGTAAAGGGCCAGAAGTAAATATTTAGGCTTTGCAGGCCATACTGTCTCTGCGGCAACTACTTAACCCTGCTGTTACAATGCGGTAAAGCAGCCATGGGCAATTCAAAAAGGAACGAGCATGGCTGTGTTCCAACGAAACTTTATCAACAATGCAATTGGAATTTCATACTTTTCCGCATGTCAGGAGAGACTACATTTCATATTCACCTTTAAAAACGTAAAAACCGTTCTTGGCCAGCCAGCCACGCAAAAACAGGCCGCCTTGGCCCGCGGGCCGCAGTTTGCAGACCCTGCCTTATCCCACAGGCACAGACTCTGGCAAAAGGGGACGAGGTTAACGTCAAGGCATGTGTCCGCCAGGGGTGAGGAGGTCACACCCGCGAGCCCAGCGCGCCCAGCCCGGCGCTTCCCGGGTCACGCCTGGGACCCGCCACCTGCATCGCCCCCTGCAGCGTGCAGGTCGCGGCGGAGGAAGAGGCAAGGAGAAGAGGGCCACACCTCCGCAACGGAGGCCTAGGGCCCGGGGCAGTGAGGTGTGGGAGGAGTGCAGGACCGGGTCTCCGACGGGCCCGGGAACCTGGGACTTCGCCCAGGTGTATCCCCTGGGTCGCTGCCGCCGCAGGTCGGTCACTCACTCGGACTGGCCGGCACGGACGAAGGCCACAGCAACAGCGCAACTAGAAGGACTAAGCACTTCATGGGCATCGTCCGCAGCACTCCGCCATGCGACGGGAACGTCCTGGGCCACTAGGCCGGGTACCTCAGGGCCGAAAAGAGAGGGTGTCTACGGCGACCGTCCCCCCTCAGGGCCGTGGGCGCCCTGCAACGGTTGTCCCCAGCGCGCAGGCGCAGCGAGGGGTGGGGGAGGGGAGCGCGAGCGGCCGAGGCCCGCCCCTCCTGGAGCGGCGCGCAGGAGGCGGGGCGACAGCGCTCCGCCGCGCCCCGGTGCGCATGCTCGCTCGGGATTCGAAGCTCTGCGCGGCGCGCCGGGCTCCGAACGTCCGGAAGCCCGGGCGACTTCTGGAGCTGTGAGGGCTGGCATGTGGCGGGATTCGGCGGCTTCGCGAAGGCTGGGCGTGTAGCCGTGCCTGAAACACTGCCCCTGCGTGCAAGGAACTGTCTGATGGAAGACACAGACGAGTAGCCTGGCAGTTACAGCCGCGTGGAAGTGCTGCAGTGGGGGAAGCACTCGGCACCGTGAAGCCCAGAGGAGGTCCCCCAACTCAGAAGGGCGGGGAGGAGCTCCCGAGATGGAAGAAAGCTGGACGCACCCCGAGAACCGAAAATAGTCGGGTCTAATTGCAGCGATGGGGGCAGGTGTTGGAGGTGAGGGAGGAGAGCTAAGTAGTTTAAAGCCACTTTAAGGGGCTTGGGTTTGTTTTGTTTTTTTAAAAGATTCCCCCACCCCCCTTTTAAAGCCAAACTATGGAGACAAGCTATGGCGAATAGATCTGTGGTTGTCTGGGGTTAGGGATGGGGGAGAGCCTGGCTATAAAAGGACAGCATGAGGGAGTGATTTGGAGCGGCAGGTAGTTGTGGCCTCAGAATCTATACATGTGTTAAAATTCACAGAACTGTACACCACCAAGAATAAGTTTTACTATAGGGTAATATTTAAAAACCTATATGCACCCATACCTTTGCTTCAGGAAACAAAGGGCATGGGTTTTATTCTGAGGTAATGGGGAGATACTGCAAGGTTTAGAGCTGGGAAAGGTGTCATTAGATTTGCATTTCAGAAAGCTCTCCTTGCTGTGTCGAGAACTGGTTGGAGGGAAGGAAGCAAGACTAAGAGGCCGGGAGCCAAGTCAGAAGACTGTTCCAGTATTCCAAGCACGGATTGACAGAGACCTGGACTCATACTGGCAGAGCACATGGGGCCCGTGGACAGATTTGAAAGACATTTAGAGTTAGAATCAACAAGACTGGGAAATTGTCTGAATGTGAGGACTGAGGGAGAAGGAGATCATGGTCATGTTTCTGGCTTGAGCACTTTGTGTGTGGTGTGAGATGGGGAATACGGGAGTTGGGGATGGAGGAAAAGAAGTTTAGTTTCAACATTGTTCTGTTGAGATGGGCTTAGGACATCCTACTGGTGGGGCCTGTCCAGTGAGTGAATGGATGTGGGGCCCAGAAAAAGCCGAGATGGAGAGGGAGGTATAGGAGGCATCAGCATCTAGAAGTGGGGATGTGTGGGATTGCCTGAGGAGAGCTTTTAGAGGTGAAGCCCTTTGGGCCTACATTAGATCCCTGGAAACCTTGGCAGGCTAGAAAGAGCAAAGGAGATGGAAAATGGGGAGAGGAAAAGCAGGAAAGAATGGAAGCTTCATGGGAGAGGAGGAGTTTAAGGCTGTCACATGCCTCTGAGAAGTCGAACAGGAGAAGAACTTCCATTCAGCAACAGGATCCTTGGCAGAAGCGGTTTCAGTGGAGTAGTTTAGGCAGAAGCCAGACTACATGAGTTGAGGCATGACTAAGAGCCCAGGCAATGGTGACAGCTACTACAGTCAACCTTTTCAAGTTTGGTGCAGGAGTCTTAGGTATGTTCTACCAGCACTCTAGCAGCCTTCTAGAATCAAATGCTTACAACTATTGGGAAAGCCATTTGGAATATGTGACAACAGCCTTAACATAATATAAATACTATGATCTAAATTATATAAGTTCAGTGGCGGTTATGTCCTAAGATAGCTGTAACGGATCATGATCTATAATACAGTTTTTTAAAAAAAGAATGGTAAAGTTTGTTTCTAAATGAACATTCTAAAATATTGTTAGAATACTGGGCAAGTATTAAAATGGTGTTCATAAAGTATATCTAGTTTGGGGAAATCTTTCTATTGTAGTGGATTATATTTGAAGTATTAACTGAGGTCTCACCCTCTCTGGGCTTCTTGTCCCTCTACCTTTCATTCCACCATTGAGGTATCTGTGGTCACCTTAATGTATGTGATTCAAGGAAGGACAGCTAGAGTCTTGAACAGAGAAGTCAAAAGAAGGGCTGGGTTTTTTTTTTCAATTCATGATGGGGTTGAAAGCTAAATCACTTTTTTTTTTTTTTTAAGATTTTATGTATTTATTTGAGAGAGAGAGAATGAGAGACAGAGAGCATGAGAGGGAGGAGGGTCAGAGGGAGAAGCAGACTCCGAGCTGAGCAGGGAGCCCGATGCGGGACTCGATCCCGGGACTCCAGGATCATGACCTGAGCCGAAGGCAGTCGCTCAACCGACTGAGCCACCCAGGCGCCCCAAAGCTAAATCACTTTTTTTTTTTTTTTAAAGATTTTATTTATTTATTTGAGAGAGAGAGAGAATGAGAGAAAGCACATGAGAGGGGTTGGAGTCAGAGGGAGAAGCAGACTCCCTGCCGAGCAGGGAGCCCGATGCGGGACTCGATCCAGGGACTCCAGGATCATGACCTGAGCCAAAGGCAGTCGCTTAACCAACTGAGCCACCCAGGCACCCAGCTAAATCACTTTTATAGGAGCTGCTGCTTAGGTGAAAAGTTTTGTTTTTGTTAATTTGTTTTGTTTGTGTTTTTTAGTGGACATGCTTGCTTGACTTTGAATATCAAAAGCCAAGGAAACTGGAGGACAGGAGAGCATAAACCATAGATGGTTTCAGGTGGATTCCAACCATAGGTGGATTCAGGATGATGTATAGTTTGTTTCCCCAATACTGATTGCAGTTTACATACAGAATCCCCTCACAGGTTTTGGTGGTTGCAGAGATTACTTACATCTCCCGAATTGAGTGAGGGGCTGTAAGTGAGAGGTTCAAAGATGTCTGTCGGTTAAGCCCAGAGTTGGGGTTGTTTTTTGCTTTTTTGTATGTTTATATAAATCGGGTAAGACCTTAGTGGCTTTCATCTTATGGATCATCCAAATGGACATGTTGAAGGGCACCTAGCTGGCTCAGTCATAAGAAAATGTGACTCTTGGTCTCAGGGTCATAGGTTCAAGCGCCACATTGAGTGTAGAGATTACTTAAATAAACTTAAACAAAATAAAACAAAAACAAATGGACATGGTAAAATAGCCAAGGTGTATCCTTACTGTGGAAATTTAGTTACCAAGAATGACTTTTAACTCTGTGTACTTTATGATCTATGTACTAACAGAAAAATCTCCAAAATAGGGTACTGAGTATTTTTTAAAGTGTGGAAAAGCACATATCCATTTATGTAAAGTCATAGCATAGTTATATATTTATAATACTCCAGAAATCATTCTGGAAGAAAACACAGCAAGCTGATAGCAGTGCTTGCTTCTAGGAAAAGAAATGAGATTGGGTGGAAAAGAGGAGATTTTGAAGGGAGAATGTTTCTTTTTACTCTAATTTTTTCTCATCTCTTGAATTTTTCAAACAAGATTATATTATATATTATGCATTTCTCATGTAATTAAAAACTTTACAAAATCTAAAAGCTTAAAGGAGTAGTAGTAAAAGTAATATGCATTTTATGCTTCATGCTTTCTCCTACTGACTTCACTGAAATATTTTTATTTTTTTAGAGGGGGAGGGAGGAATGGAAGGAGAGGAAAAGAGAGAATCTTAAATAGGCTCCATGTCCAGTGTGGAGGCCAATGAGAGGCTCAATCTCACGACCTTGAGATTATGACCTGAGCCAAAATCTGAGAGTCAGATGCTTAAGTGACTGAGCCACCCAGGAGCCCTTCACTGAAACATTTTAAAGTGACTAATTCACTACCAAAAAAAAATGTATTTGGCCTGTATCTCTGCTTCACCTCTGGACTCTGTAAACTGTTCTGATATTTAATCACACAGTATCATTTCATATTATATGATTTTTTTCCTCAGGGATGTATTGTATCTTCCCTTTATGGTGGTTCTTACGCTTCTCCATTTCACATAGCACCTTGTTGGTGCTCAATAAAGACTAACATAACAGTTCATGCTCTTCCGACCTAAAGGAAGAGATACCAACCTGTCCTTCCTCTGAACGTCCCAGACCTATCAAAATCCGCTTGTGTTTCAAGGCCCAAATGCCACATCTGCTAGGAAGCCACCCCCTCCTCACCTCTCCAATTAGAATAGATCGTATTTTCCCTATCCCATATTTCCACAAGCTATATTACAGCTGTTTTTTCATTTAATTACTGTGTTTTATTTTTACAAGTCAGTCTTCTCTAGACCAAAGTCTTTGAGGTCAGAGAGGCAGATCTAAGTTATCCCTGCATTGCACGCTCCCTAGCCTAGCCAAAGTCTTGCATTCATTGGTTGCTCAATAAATGCATGTTTGAGTTCAAAGGAAATTGAAAAGTTGGGATTTTTTCTGTAGGCTTCTACAGAATCCTGAAAGGAACTAAGTTACTCAGCTGCAGAGACAACTTCCAGCACAAATTTCAATCTCAAGAAACTCCTCAGCTCTTACGTGTCTATGATGCCATTATTTAAGCCCAGGTGAAAGGAATGGCACTGGTCTCATCTGCTCTTTTCTCTATATACCTCTGCAAGTAATTCCAGACAATAAATTCCTAATTGTGAAATTGCTGTCAAATGGAATGCACCAATTTCCATACCCATCAATAGTATAATGACTTAAGGGGCTCCTGGGTGGTTTAGTCAGTTAAATGTCCAATTCTTGATTTCAGCTCAGGTCATGATCTCGGTCGTGAGATTGAGCCCCACATCGGGCTCTGTACTGGATGTGGAGCCTGCTTAAGATTCTCTCTCCCTCAGCCCCTCCACCCTGCCTGCTTGTGCGTGCTTTCTCTCTCTCAATAAACAAACAAACAAACAAATTGCATAATGACTTACTAATACTGGGTGTCATCATCTTTGAGGACCAACTATGTTAAATATGGTACATTGTTCTTTTATCTG